TCATTCTTTTTGATTCTTCTGTTAATATGTTGCTGGTCATTAGGTTTTTCCCTTTCAATCCACCTGCTTCCTCTGTTTAAGTGCCAGCTAATGCCAGAATCTGTTCACATCAAGATCTGTTGCTCCTAGTAAAGGAACTTTCCTTACCAGAATACTGCAAGGTCAACTGAAAAACAACCAGAGTTAGCAGGTGAACTCTGAGTAACCCAGCTCTGTTATAACCACTGTGGCATTTCAGAACTGTTCTGCTGTGCCAGAATCCCTGTGCAACCAGAAAAGCATGCAATAAGAAACACATGAAATGACAAGAAGAGTCTATTAGTTTTGCTCGTGCAATGAGGATTGATCACAGATCACTAAAAAAGAACAAATCCAGAATCCTCATCTAGAATCCACTTTCAGTTTTTCAGCATTATCATTTTTTCAGCCTACCATTCAAAGACTGCAATGAACTAATTCTTCAAATAGCTTGGATACATAAAGCTCAGAAGTTTTCTTACAGCATTTTAGCAACAATTTGATCCTTATCTTACCAAATTTATTTTAGACTTTAAAAGTACCAATAAAATACATTTCTGCCTTTTTCTTTGGGTTTTGTTGCTTTCTTCTTATTAAGAAAAGTAATTGTTGACTATCTTGTGCTATTCTGTGATCTGAGCTCAATCAGGCTGATTAGCAGTGACAGCATGTCAGAGGTCATTATCATTAAGCACACCTCAGTGAACAATTCAATGGAGTTGTTATTCCACCAGTGGCAGCCCTCACAAGTGGGTTTAAGAATCCCAGGGAACGAACTCCAGATCGCTCTGGGCTAACCTGCATGCCTGAGCACCCTCTGCTGCTCAGCACTGGCTGGCCCAAACCAGCACTTCCACACGGTCCCCCAAGTCCCAGGGGATCACGGTACACACCCAGTGCAATCGTATTTTATATATATGCACATATATTTTCTTGACCATTTCTTTTCATAAACAGGCTTTAAGCTTGCCCTCCCTTTTTCACTCTCTTACTCATATTGGCAAGAAATGTGTGTGCCCATTACACCCATACAGAGAGGGAAGGAAGAAAGTGTGTGTGTGAGTGTGTATATATATAAATACATATCTTATACAGTTTCAGCTCACTGTAATCCACAGGTCATCACTCCATACTGAAGCCCTTCTCTACCAGCAGGTCCCCATTCACACATCCTGCATAAATGCTAGAGCCATCCATTGCAACATGACTAAGTTAGCAGCATTTGGTTCTTCTCTCCCCATAAATAGATGCTAAATTCCTTGCAGTTTGGTGGAACAATGCTGAAGGTACTACATGGACTGCCTGCAGCTGCTCACTTTCTAACAAATATCTGCAATGGAGCCTCCTTCCCTGTCAAGGTTTTCAATAAAGGCAGTTCTGTGGAGTGCTGGTAATTTAGCATGAGCCATAGCTTCAGGGCCAGGATATCTGTTGTCCTACAAGAAACAACCACAGCCTGATTTGGCTTTCTTTCACCTAGGTAAAATTGCAAGGGCTCCTTCACAACGCTCCTACCTAGACTGGCAGCAAGCACAACCATTTTATACATATCCATGTGATGTTTTAAGTGCTCCTCCCAAATCCCCAGTCTCTCCTTTACAACCCCAAAAGCAGCCCTGGGAGAAGCAGTACCTCCTGTTCAAAGAAAGAGCATCACACAGTGTCTCAAGTGGAATAAAAGTAGCTGCAAGATGGAAGAGTGAATGAAACACTCAAGCAAGGACTGCAGCATATGCTAAAACAGCACATAAAACACCTTAGAAAAAAAATAACCCTATCTAGTTCCATATTACAAACTTACTCTCTGCTTATTAAAAATGTTTCAGTGAGAAAAATAAAATTACTTTAAAAATTATGATGGGATTGAATTTCAGACAATGGAGAAATTCAGTCAAGTAATCATTGAGTTAATCTATTTATTCACCTTGGAAAAATCCTGATCAGGAGAAAGTCTATTAAGAGAACACAGGGATTCAGCTGCTACCCTCCTCACTGAATAGACAATCACGAGATGCCCCTTTGAACCTTGCGTTAATAAAATTCTCATTAAATGCAAACCTGCACAATGTTATCTTGAAGAGGCTCATTAGCTTAATAAAAAATAACTTGTCTCAAAATGTGTTTATTTCCTCATAGGTGAGAAGGTGAGTTTTCAAACCATCAACTGCTGCACCTTCCTATTTCAACCCCACCAGTGCTGCAGCTACATCTTGCAGTCTATCACATCTCAATTACCTATGAAAACTCCAGAGTCAAATCCACAGACCGAAGTTATAATGACTATTATGAGATAGGACAGCAATTGAAATCACTCATTCCAGTGTGGTATGTAAGATTTTCAGATAGATAAGGCTATTATTATTCTGTCTTCTTCAAATTTCATTTTCTTTAGGTTGGACAGAAATTATGAATTATCTATAAAAAAGAGAAGGCAGGAATAGCCTCCCCATCTCTCAATACTAAAAAAGAATATTCGTGACTGCTCTTTTCACTGGAGAAATCAAAGGACATAAGGACAAGAAAAATCAAATAATCAGCAACAACAAAACTCAATCAGACTGCCTAGTGAAGAATAAGGTCCAAGTCAAAAGTAGTGCTCATACCATAATAGGATACACAAAGAGAGATCTCTCTCTGTGGCTGAGTTTAAACAAGAACATGTCAAAGATTCTCTAAGTATTACTCATCCTGACTCTCTATTACAGCAATTAATCAGCCGAGCTCACCAGCTCAGCACTGTGGGTGCAAGCAGGACTGTTTTATGTGTCTCCTCAGGAGTTACTCCTGTAACACAAATGCATTGCGGCCACTCACCACTCCTCTCCTGGCAGAAACACACATAAAATTGTACACTAGGATTTAAGGCACTTGTTAAAGCCCACCACATGCATGCATAGGCAGATGCTTTTACATTTATAAAACCTACTAAAAGCCTTAGGATAAGGAAATGACAAGGTTTATTTCTTTTTAAATAGCTTGTATAATGAGATGGAGATATAAACCAAAGCATGACTCTGCACTGTAGAGTTACAGCAAGAAGAAGGTATTCATTGCTCATAAAAACTTTCCAGAACAACGGAGCAAGGTGAAGGAAAAATCCAATGTGAAGTGGATTTCTCTAAATTCATTCTCTTCATGGCAAAGGCATCCAAATAAGACACCGTGTGCTAAGACCACTCTAAGGGGAAACAAAGGGGCATGAACAAACAGAAAATTCAGATAACAAGGAGCTAAACCAGGTTCTAGTCCCTTTGAAACATCACACTGTCAATCACCTTCACAAAAGCATGGTACCTTTGGATTTTTCTGGCTGCTCTGAAATCTATTTAGTTAAAGAACCCATCAAATGCAGTATTTTTACCATCAGAAGAAAACAAATCAGAAGACAAAATTCTCCCCCACCCCCTCCTTTTCTTTTTTTTGAGAGCAAGGAAATGGGATAAATCAAACAGACCGACTTCTCTGAATTCTAATCTTTCCCTAGGCCTTGAATCATCTCTAATTTAGACCTTTCAAATTTCAGTGAATGAAAAGCAGTCATTCACGAAATTTCAGTACAGATGAGCAGTTGGGTGGAGCAAGGGAAATCTACCAAAAGTCCATCAGAGAAATGTTAGAGACTTCACTGGTTCCAGGCAAAACTGTAATCTGGACATGTCTGACACAGGCTGTCCAGGGAGGGGTATCACAGTGACAATTTTTTGGTTGATTCTTATCTCAGTTGCAAGCTGATCTTCATAAAAGCAGTTGTTAAGCCAAAAGGAAATAAGCCCACACAAAATCTTAGTTTCACAAACCAGGGGTGAGCACAAACCCTCTGTGATCACTTGTTTTTTTAATCTCTTCCCAGTTTAGACTTCTCTCCCTGGGTATACAGAGAATTCCCAGGGCAGACATTTTGTGTCACATTAAGTGACATTAATTTGCCAACAGCTACCTGTTCTGCTGCTTCACTTCAAGTGCATTATCTACCCACAAGAGTTCATTTACATCTGTTTAAAAAACAAAAACAAACAAAAACAAGGATAGGACTAAAATAAATCTGGAATCATACGTGATGTTACCAAGCTTACAGGCTTACTAAGGGAACCTTTAAGGTGATTTACAAACGTGTAAGATGTCCTACACAATGTCTTTTGTAGTGAGGGAAATGACAAGCACTAGCAATGCAACAGTACTGAGCAGCTTGGTGTTGCAGACACCAAGTGTCTGGGATGACCAGGGAAGTGATGGACAGATATTTTTTCAGTATAAATACTTACATCTTTTATGATTTGTTTACAAGCCAGAGTTAAGCAGTAAATACTCTCTCTCAACATTCTTTCATTTTCCAATCAATCAGATCCATGATCCTCTTGCCCAATACTCAGCTTGGTCAGTACTAGCTGCTTCAGGCGCCAGGAAAATAAATTATTGCCATTGTGAAAGAGTACACACCTAGATTTACACTCTTTAGCCTTACAAGTAAAGCATAACTTCTGCCCTTGAACAGGACAAAGAGACTTAAGAGAACACTGAAATGTCCTTAAATAATCACTTTTAAACACACAATATCCTGCAATGTTAACAGGCCTCGAATCTGCTTGTTAGAGCTGATTTATAGTCCCCTCCACAGCTTCACGGAATTGCAATAGAATCACGCTACAGAAATCCATTAGGTCCACAACTGCTCTTTCAGCACAGCATTGTTCCCTACTGTAAAATTTCTCACAAAAATGCTGTGAGAATTAATTCATTACAGTTTGTGCCATGCATTGAAAGCGCTCAGTCAACAGAAGAGCCGAGAGAATTATTAGAGAGGACAATCAAACCCTGGTGATACTCTCTTTATCCCAGTAGACCCTGTTTAGAGGAACAATTTAGCCCAACAAAGAGAATAAATTCAACCCCAAACTTATTAAAACAAATGTGAAAGAATCATGATAAAAATGTAGTTGCACAGGATACAATCTTCAAAATGGTTACTAACTTGTACTCCTTACCTAATATTGACTAATGCATGGGTCACCTTGCTTGCAGGCTCTTTCCACTGACCAGCATTGGTAGACAGCCTTAGAACTGAAAGGAGAAGACAGTTAACAGTGCTGGCACAGGACTGGCAATTTTCTAATTTAAAACAGGAAAAAAAAATCTGCTTTGGCGAGATGGAAGTCCAGGAATCACATCAAAACAAAGGTCTTCTTCAAGATGACCTGTGATCCAGGGCAGATATTCCCTTCAAAGCCCATCTAAGAACATAAGGAACATGGAAGAGGTGAACAGAACAAAATAATGACTCCGAGACAGGAAGCAGAGGGGACAGAAGAACCCAGGTCCTGCTTTCATCACCATATATACAGTTCATTTCCCCCAGAAACAGGGCAGTGACCCATGTCTGAATAACTATTATTCCACATTCTGTTGTCCTCCAGCTTCCATTTATGCAAGATTCCATTGGAGCTAGACTACCTCCTGAAGATTGAACTCTCTCCAGCAATGATGGATTCTTTACATTTCAATTTATCCAGAACTGCAAAGCGGAATTAAACACCAGCCTAGGACAAAACACTCCCTGTAGGAACAAGGGTGGTGTTCTGTTGCACAGATGGCCTCTGACAGACTTAAGAGCAGATCTGAAAACATTCTGCAACAGGAAGAACTTCTGGGAATCCAATTCTTTTCTGCCAGAGTACAAAAAATATTTATTTAGGTCAAAATATGCAGTGTTTCTACGGTGGTAGTTACCTGCACATCTCTTGGTATGCATCAAAACAATAACAGATCTTGTAACAGATGTTCGGATTAATTTCCATATTGCCTGAATAAAGGGGAATTTTCTATGTATTTGTACATACAGAGTTTTCTGGAAATTAGATTCCACAAGAATGGTTCACCATCAACTCAGAAGTGAAGGAACAGCTCATCATCTGAATTTAGGATCATCTAGAAACATGGATGCTACAAGTGAATCCATAAGCTGTGCTAACAAATGCCCCAAGGTCAAGGGACAGAAGGGTCGCTGTAGTCTCAGAGACAGGCCGACAAGCAAAAGGAAGCTGTCAGGACACCTAGTGGCTTTCACCAGCTGGAGACAGTGCTACCTTCTCACTTCCTAGTCTACCATTACACGTCATCTGCAGATAAAAGATGTCAGCTCCAAATAACATGATGCTGTCAAACAGTAGGTACTGTTTTTGAATATCTGAAGTAATGTATTCAGAGAGGGTTTCCATTCAGGTATCTCCAACAGTAATTCAAAAGGGTTTGCTCTAGGTAGCAGGATGGAAACATTCATGTGACAAACTGTTTCAACAAGTTAGGTGTGCCTTCTGCAACCCAACCGAGGAACTATATGAGTATGTTATTCTCCTATCCACTTGCCTTCAGCTTCCACAGGGGATGGGTTTGAAAAAATCTTAATAGCTACAATTCTTGAGAGTAAGAAATGGGTTAGCAAAAAATCTTATGCACTCAGAGGGCATAACAACGGCCAAGTGATCTCTTATGTAATGGCTGAAAACTGTAGGAAATTTATATAAAAGAGCAGTTCATTTCTGCTTGCAGTTACAGGGGGTATTCAGCTACTTTTATATGGGTGAGCATGGTTCTCCCCCATGTCAGAAGAGTGTTGTGGCCAATTGTCTGTCCTTTAACTCCCCTTTTTTGCTTATATTGACTCCTGTTTTTCACTGGGTGATCACACTGAGAAGGAAGCAGGGGGTGAATGGAAAAAAAGTCTTTCTAGAATAAAGCAAACAAAGAATACAGCTATATTCCTTTTCTTCATAGATTCAAGTATGCAGACACTACACCAGTGCTGCTGCAGCTCCCCTGGGCCACAGGCTCCTGTGTTAAGCTGCCTGGTTAAGCTGCCTCGTTAAGCTCCATGCATCCCTTGCTCTTCTTTGTTTGTCTTTTCCCTGCTGGGTGTCACTTGGTAGCATTCCAGCATGTCTGCCTCTCCTTGAAGGATGGCAGTTTCTCCCTGTTTTGCCAGTGGGCACATTCTTCAGTCCACTGATTCACTTGTCACTGCAAGCAGGTTTGTGAGGGCTGTTTTCTTGGTTATTTTGGCAATGAGTGTAGTAGATGTGATTTGCTTAGCACTGCAAGCTTTTTGCTATAAGTTTCTCGAATTCTTTTCCAAATTCTTATTTGCATTGAGTGTTTCTCTGTATTGGCTGGTTTGGCAGCATGACTGGAAATTGTTGAATATAGTATAGGCAAACTACGTGAAAATGCATGACATACCACATACTCTGTTTTGACAACAAATTTATATCTCCAACCACAGTAAGTGACTGATACAGAGGCAAGGAGTCTGCTTCTATTTTTTTCTGACTTAAAAAAAACCTTATCCCTTTAACTAGTTTATCCTTCTCTCAGTTCCTCAATTCTTAATTTACTAAACATGTCCTACTACACAAAACATGTCCAGTCAGTAAGGCACACATCAGAAGCAGGTGGACTGAAAACACCAGACACAAATGTCCCTCCTCCACCACCCTCACTTCCAGTCAGCAGCAGTCCTGACAAGTCAGGAGGTACTCACCCATGGAATAAAGGTTGTCAAAATTCTGATGCATCCGAATGATTTCATAATACAGCTCATCATAGCTGCTGGGAGTGGGGAGGAAGGTGTCTCCGTAAGTGATGAACATGTTGAATAGGTTCACAACCTAGACAAGTGAAAAGAAGTTACAAGAATATTTAGCCCAAATCTATTCTGCAACAGAAACAATACAAACCACGTCCCAAACCTTCAAAGAAATAGCTCACAATTGCAGCAGACAGTATTACACTACTTCATTGCTTTATCTATTATTTTCTTTGTAGTACAGAAGAGACAGACAAGACACTTAAATACTATTTTATCTGGGGCTAGAAAAACATGTTTCTTTTTTGCATACAGAGGGACACAGAAGAAGAAACAGTATTGTCAAATCTGGAAAATTAAATTAGGCCCTTCCTCACATAGATTTCTTTATTTCAGTGAGCAGACCCTACAGTGAGTCCAAGCACTGCCCTTTCCAAACACCTAGCAAAACCAAACACAATAATATCCCTCTGCTTTGTGGTCATCTTCTCATATCTCCTTCATAGGCCAGAAATCCTTTCTGGAATCCTTTCAGCATTATAATTCTTTCTTAAAATTCATTCACTATTAAGTTGTTAAAAATAAGAGGATTTTTGTGTACTCACCATAAGAGCAAGGGTGAAGATGTTGTGCTTGGCCAGTAACACAGTCTCATTAGACATGAGGAACTTTAACAAGTTGATCAAGGCTAGGAGAAAATAAGTAGTTTTAAAATAATATAAAAAAACAAAGCTATTTTCAACAAATCACTTAAATACAGATGCATGTACATTATCAGGTGTAAACTAGCCTAAACGCCAGCTACAGAAATTATCCTCATAATTTATTGGAAATTATCAATTTACTTGTAGGGGTTGGCAGTGGTTTTTGTGGCTAAAATACTCTGCTGGACAGGTAAGTGACAGCTATTTTACCACCCCACCTTTATTCTATTTCACTGACTTCCCAATCAAATCCGCTCAGGCTCAAGCAAAGTCTCTTGTTAGCTTAGTTCATGGAGCTTTCTCTGTCTGCTAGATCCTGGAGTGAGTTCTCAGGTTGGAGAATCTGACTGTCTCGTTTCTGTTTCATATATCGCCACCATGATGTATGCATAGTCAGCCCCAAACTGTCACTCTTGTTGATACATAAGAGTTTTTTAAAAAAGTAACAAAAACCCCACAGCACAGCTTTTCTGTAGCTCTGTGTCAATGCTGCTGCACCGGTAAAAGGAAGAATGTAGTACTTTACTGTGTCAGTTATCTGGGGCTGTGCGGTAGAGACTACAGATCTGGTTCACGCTCATCTTAAATAATGAAACAACAAAACCTCCTGCTGTAACCACCCAAAAGCAGTTAGTAAGACTGATAATTAACAAAAAGGTTCACTAAAAATGCTTTAATCAAGTCGACTTTACAATAAACAATCGCATTCCATGTGCTTGAATAAAAGGCAAAGTTCTTTATCTTCTTGTTTCTAGCTGAAATTTTTAGAAGAGAAAACTATTTTCTCTTCTTCAGCATTATAGCTGCTCAGGACTGAAAGTTGATGCCTGCCTAGAACAGGTTCTTAATGTACTCTCTGCTCTGAAGTCAACAGATTTCAAGACTTGAAATATCTGACTTCAGATGTCCTGCAAAGTCAAGATCGAGTGCTATATACACTTTTTTTAAGAAGTTCTTTATTATCTACTAATTGGTAACTGCATCTAGCAGAACAACACCAGGTATTACTCCAATTTCTTACAGGTATGAGTAGAATTTGTTAATCTGCTTTTTCCCCCACCACTACACAAGTGTCACACACTACCCAGTAACCTGTGAGAAAATCAGTTCTGGTTTGGGAGAACTCCACAGCAAATGCAGAACAGACCATTCCTTTCAGCCCAAAGGTACAGGCTGTGTAAGAGAAGGAGAACACACACAAGGAACAGGAATGAGATTAGGGTAAATTTTAGATATCCGCCCCCTTCAGGATTAGAAAGTATTCACAAAAGGTAAAACCAAAAAACCTACAGTATAAAGACAGATGTGAAGAGAGTGGTCAGATCTTGAATCAAACAAAATTGTAAGATTCTGAATGCAGTCCTGCAACCTCTGTTTTCCAATATTAGAAGTTTACCACGAGTATCAAAAGCTTATACATGCCCCCAAAACAGAAGCCTACAGGTCCAGGGTGGCTATTTACTCATCACAGACAGAATCACCTCAGTTTAATCTACCAGCGGGTGGCTGATGCTGAACTGCAAACCAGAATGAACAAAGTTCTCTGCAAACTCCAGATATGCAAGTGATTTATCTTTCAGAGCTCTTCCATGATTTAACCATCAGCAATAACATCTCTCCCTTCCACAACAGCGGCCCACCACGAAGCAGATATATTAACACCTATTCAATCCAGCCACAGAACTCCCCACACCATTATCACCTCATCATCAGACAAACTCCTGAGACCAAAAGCAGAAACCAGATTCCACAATACACTAGCTCTAGAAATAACTCCTGTCAGTTATTTTTCTGTAAAATAGCTATTTCAAAACAAAGAAGTAGCAGGTACAGATGGGCTCTCCACCGGAGCAGAGATCCAGCTAAAAACAGGTTGCCAAGGTAACCAAGCCTCCACAGCAAAAAAGTAGAGTCTCCTGCAGTCAGTGCCTTGGACTGCAGACAGCTGCCCTGCATCTCTGTCACAGCAGCTCATCGACTGTCTCCCCATTTCACAGTTACAAGCATAACTTTACCTCTCTCCCAGCCCCGCAAGTCCACACGGCCACAGCTTGTGACCAGGTGGGGCTGTTTAACAAACAGCACCTTGGGCTTCTGGAAGCAGAGTAGCAGAGCTCTGGATTTCCTATAACAAGTGGTGTGAAGTCTTTTGTTCGTTTCTTTGCCTCTTGCTCTCCCAACAGAGCCCTGCTGAACGGCCTTTGTAGCAGGTGATTGCACAGTGTGACGAGAAGCCGCTGAACATCCAAACACAGTCAACATGAAAGATGCCCCCGATAGGGAGACACTATTTTTAAAAGAACAAGTGTATTTGTCTAGAGCATAAGCACTGACCAAATGACAAGGAAAAGCACCCTACAACTGCCTATTGCAGTATTTCTGAAGTACTTGCACCGACAACAATAAAAGGAGAAGAATTCTTCTGTTGTGAAGAATTCGCTTATGTTTCATTTTCCTGCTCCAGTTAGAAAGAAGACAAGTGATTACCATAGCTTGAAATAAATCTTTATACCTGAACTGCACTGCTCACAGTTGATCTGTGCTGGTCCTTCCCTAAGAACTAGGAAGGAGAGGGCTGTGCCTTCACATGAAGAGGAAACTCAGTGCTGCACTCAGAGCCTGGTGAGAAGAACTAACCCACCAGGTTTACAGACACTGTGTGCACTATACAGATAAATTTATCCAACTGTTTGGAAACCACACATTCCTAAAAAAGTTGCAGTGTTCCTAATTAGGATATGCACTATATCAATACTAAAAGAGCAACCAATCTGTTTCCACACCAGCACATTCTGCAGCAGCCTGTGCTGAAGTGGCTCTAAGGAACAGGATCACTGTGGAACATGAACCCTTAAATCTCTTTCCTGTGTCTCTGTAGTTTGCTTCTAAGGCAGACTCTATACTGAAAATGAGGACAGCTATGCCCTGGAGTTTTCAGGATCAACAACTTTTAGATCCAGCTTCATGTGCCCAGTGCGTTTCAGCAACAATTACACACATAAAATGAACTATTAGAGAAAAGGTCCAACTGGCTGAAAACCCCTCTGCCCTTGAGCTCCAACAGAGCACTGATGCTACTATTCCTGAGCAACCTGAAGCCAAACCAGATGTGTCACTTTTTCTCTGCTGCAATCAACTGTTTGCCTCTTATAGCCCATCTGCAGGCTACCCTCTCACACCAGCCAGGAAATTATCCTTTTTTTTTTTTTTCCACAACAGAGGAGCCGTTCAGTCTCTCAGCTGCACAGCAGCTGACAGCACTGTGACCCTTGCTTGGGCTCAGCCACCTTATCCCAAATCCAAGATTAACAGTGATGGATAGTTTGGGCATGACATCTATTTCAGCATGAACTGGAAAACAGCACCATTTTTGCAATAGCCTCTAGAGTCTTTTTTTTTTTTCCCCTTATAGATACCTGTCTTTGGTATCTCTCGGTAGGACCCAATAGACCCACTATGGTGAGCCTCGAAACATCCATAATTTCACAATACAACACTGTCACTAGAAATTCTTTGGCAACAAAAGCAGGAGGCTGTATCTAAACTAAACAAGCAGCCACCAGTATTTTCATGCAAGTTCCTCATTTTGAGCACACTGACTATGCTTCTTAAATCAATAAGAAGAGAACACAGCTTTGAACACCTACATTTATAGCCTCAAAACCAAGTAGAAAAGCATGGTGAGTGGACACAGAGTCATGTGACTGGCTGTCTGTGAAAGTGGTGTAAAACATACAGGTTGGTTTTTAGGCAATTTTCTCTCCAAAGGATTATTATAGCCAAAGGATGAAAAGCAACATCACCAGCTTTTACAGATACTCTCTTTGCTTTTTAAATTGAAGTGACTGCAGAGAAAGAGGCTCTTAGCTCCTCCACTGCACAGCTGCTTTTGAAGACAGACACTTTCCCTTATCAGCTCTTGTGGCCAGTCTGTCTGCCAAGGAGCAGCAGTACTTCCGCTCAGTTATTTGCTGCCCTTCTTCAAGCCAATCCTCTGTGAGAAGACTGTGGGTAGCCAGAATCTCCTCTTCTACCAGAAAGGAGGTAATTCCAGTTAAGGACAGATGCCCTTCACTCACTCCTTCCCCTATTCCTATTCCTATAGCAGACTTACCTTCTCGCCCTGTAAACCTTGTTTCAAACAGAAGTATATCCAGCCCCAGCCAAACTGGGATTCATGCAAAGTTTTCATTTAATTTAGTGTCTCAGTATTCACTCTTTGAATCATGTGTAATGCAACAGGACTGTGGAGGTAGATTAAGAATAAAAAAAAGTAGTAGTACCATCCCTTGGGCAAATCAGAATGTAGCACAGATTCTGCCAGGAGCATCAGAAGGCTCTGATGTGTTATTACACAACAGAGCAGAAGAGAACAGCCCTGAGACACACATCAATGAGAGCCTGGATGGGTTCAGCACAGCATGGAGGCCTCTGTCACCGCATCTGCTGCGCTTACAGGTCAAAAATCTTCTAATGGTGCATATAATGGCTCTCAACAAAGGAGAAAGGGAGAAAGAGAGATGCGAGGGTTCCTCAGCTGCAGTATAACATCCATTAGCAGGATCCTGTGTTCTACTAAAATCCTCCAGTTTTCTACCCTTCAACTTGCAGGGTACACTGGGAAGAACAGTGATTTTCCCATTCTCTCTGGAAATTACCATTGTACCAATAGTATATTCAGTGTCCTCCTCTACGTGTCTCAACACCTTTAGGAGGCTCTCCACCCACATGTCACTAAAAGGCAGCTGATAATGACATCTGGGCAACACTTCGATGCCACAAAGAAATCATCTGCCTATGAGTGCCCCAGCAGCACAGTAACCACCCTGGACCTCCCATAGCCAGCCTGTTCACATGTACATACTCTGAAGGCAAGGTCCATTCCACTCATTGTAGCACATGGCAAGCCAGATCTGCTAAGGCTTAGTGCACTAGATTGGAACTGAGAAGAAAGTGGATTCAATTCTTCAGGAAGCAGCACTGG